AATCAGGAGGGAGAAACTCAACTATGAAGCAGTGAGTTCTCTGCCAGCTGATGAAAAGTGTTATGGCAGAAGGCATAAGTAAGTGTTTCTAAAGAGAGCAGTTCCCCACATCATCTTCTCTTAAATACAGAGATCTTCTCCTCATGGTTTCCTGATGTTCACTCACCAGGCGGGAGAAGGGAGCCTTCCTCAGCAGAAGGTCGGTGGACTTCTGGTATCTGCGGATCTCCATTAACGCTTGGGTCCCTGGGCGAAACCTTCTCCTCCTGGGAGACACTGGGGGCTTCACTGGAAAACAGATAGAGAGTTTCAGTGTTTATGGGATGGCAGGACTTTCCTCTTAGCTAATGACGACGCTACTTGACAACTCTCATTTTGAACACCTGAGGCCTGTACTACGAAGCTGGATTTTCGCTTAGCCGGCTAACTTCAGGGAAATCTCGGGCTTTCCGGTCCTACGACGCTGGTTCTCTTTTTAGCAGGCTAGATTTCCATGGTAACTTATGCTGAGCGGCTAGCCTGCTCCGGAGCAGGTTAGGTGGCAGGCTAAGAGATCAACTCAGTGAAAGCACCGCCTGCTGACCAATCAGAGCTCCGTGTGCGGAGTTTAAAGCGATCAATTCATATTACAGGATAGAGGAAATACAGAAAAACTGCCGTTGCAGGAAAGACGGCCGGCAAAAATCAACTGACTGTGTGAACGTGAAAATGAATAGAATATCCCCTCCCATCTTCAGAGCAATCTGACTATTATAACATTAGCATTAAGAAAGCTTACTTAAATATCTGCCACGACATAAGTAACCGGATCAGAGTAACATTAAGTACAGTCCGCGGCACTGTGAGTGCAGACGTCGATGTGTCCCATTATCATTCATATCATATCACATCATAATGTATCATATATTTCCTTATCTGAGTCAGCTTCTTGAGCCGTATCTGGCCGTGCAACACTCACAGTGTCACACACTGTATGCAGAAGTATTATTTTAAGCAACACATTAAGTTGACGAAACACTCGAGTCAAATTCTCCTAATTAAAGTCAGATCCACTCGTGTCTTGGACGGGGCAGTGATTTCATAAACCTGTTAATGTACGCATTCAAACACTTTTTCTGTTACCAGCTGTATTCACCTTGCAGGTGCAGCTATGTGGCTTTGATCCTGGATAAAGTGTTTAAGTCATGGATGTTTAAAGTTTAACTTCTTCATATTTGACTAATATTAAAGTTCACTTTTCATTCAGGAAGTATGACGCTGCGCTGTCAGTACGCTTGTCCGTGTTTGAGATTGGTCGAATGCTCCAAATACCACCCCTTTCATGTGAACGTGCACCTAACTAGATAGGACACGGCTGGCTTGAGCGATCCACTTGATAACCAGCGTCGTAGTACAATTTAGCGAGAGCGCGTATGTTTTGGATTGGGCCAACCGGCTAACTCAAACATATCCAGGTTAGGTTGAACCAGCTTCGTAGTACAGGCCTCTGGACATCTACATACAGCTTGGATAAAAGAGCTTATGGAGCATGCTTTAAAATACTTGTTTAGCTAACCTGCCCTGTTTTTTAACTTGAGTTTAGTTTTGATAAAAGCAGGGACTTCCTTAAAGGTCACCTATTATACAAAATCCACTTTTTCACGTCTTTTCTACATCAACATGTGTCCCCTCTTCATGTCTCTTCTACATCAACATGTGTCCCCTCTTCTTCATGTCTCTTCTACATCAACATGTGTCCCCCTCTTCTCCATGTCTCTTCTACATCACCATGTGTCCCCTCTTCTTCATGTCTCTTCTACATCAACATGTGTCCCCTCTTCTTCATGTCTCTTCTACATCAACATGTGTCCCCTCTTCATGTCTCTTCTACATCAACATGTGTCCCCTCTTCTTCATGTCTCTTCTACATCAGCATGTGTCCCCTCTTCTTCATGTCTCTTCTACATCAACATGTGTCCCCTCTTCTTCATGTCTCTTCTTCATCAACATGTGTCCCCTCTTCTTCATGTCTCTTCTACATCAACATGTGTCCCCTCTTCTTCATGTCTCTTCTACATCAGCATGTGTCCCCTCTTCTTCATGTCTCTTCTACATCAGCATGTGTCCCCTCTTCTTCATGTCTCTTCTACATCAACATGTGTCCCCTCTTCTTCATGTCTCTTCTACATCAGCATGTGTCCCCTCTTCTTCATGTCTCTTCTACATCAACATGTGTCCCCCTCTTCTCCATGTCTCTTCTACATCACCATGTGTCCCCTCTTCTTCATGTCTCTTCTACATCAACATGTGTCCCCTCTTTTTAACCAAATATCTCTCAGAGGGGTGTGGGGAGGGGCTCCTTATTTTCATCTAAAGTAACAGACAGAGAATCAGCACTTTGGAAACAGAGGGGATTATGGGATGCTGCGATGATCTGTTTGGTGTTTCAGCCAATCAGAGACAGGCTCTGTATGTATCCGAGACCTATAATATAGTGATTAAAAACCGTATAATAGGGGACCTTTAAGTGACAGGATCATAATCATTAGTCAGCCCGGCCAACCCTCTCTCAACTGGTGCTCTACCTGGCACTCCACTCAACCTCGGGGACTTGGGAGCTGAATCGGGGTACACTTTGGGGGGGCGACGTACGGGGACTTTGTCCTTCCGGCGGCTGATAGAAGTTTCGGGACGCATCTTCTTCAACACCGAGATCAGGACCAGAAGAAGAAAAACACTGCAGCCAGGTCTGACTGTAAGAGAGGGAGGACATTACATGCTTCATTAATCAAACCTTCAAGTCTTTATATAACCTGAATACTTTACAATACAATCATTCTTCCAATTTGCTGGTAATACCTAAACTAATTCCAATAAATACAGTGACTTAGATCAGGTTTTATTCATATAGGTGTTGTTGAGTCATACGTCTCTCCTCCATGGGGGGTTCAAATTCAAATGTCCCATCAGCCATAGCACAGGGCCCGAGACTTTACAATTAAACCCTGTAATGATGACTCAAGCTTGTCAAAATATATTTACTCCATGTACTCTAACTGTTACATGTCAGTCATGTGTTGAGATTTGAGACAGGACTCTCACGTGCAATCAGAGCGTATACATGTATATTTTGCAAATATCGTTTACTTCATCTGCAGTACTTTCAACATAATCTGCACATGTATATACTACTCTGTGACTTCTTGCACTATTTTTATTTGTTTCATGTCCTATATATACACATTATGTTGCATTGTTGGAGGAGATTGGGAATTAGGTTTTTCATTGCCATATCTACACTGTGGAGTGCATGACAAATAAGCCCTATAGTTTTGGCTCTCTTAAATATTTTGTCAAGATCTAGATAGATAGATAGATAGATCGTACTTTATTGATCCCAAATTGGGAAATTGTTTTTGTTACAGCAGCATAAAAGGCATTTTACAATAAAACAAAATATACAAGAATAGAAATAAAAATAAAATAAAATATAAAATAAAATATAAAATATACATGTCAAAATACAAAATAGAAAATATACATACAGATATTATATATATATATATATATATATATATATATATATATATATATATATACAAATATATTCAAAATATATGGAATTATGGAGTATTAAATATGAAACAGATTATGTGTGAGTAAAATGTACAAGGTGGTTTTATTTCTAGAGAAACTATGGAGCAGAGAGTTCTCTTCCAGCCAGAGGTGATTTGTTGTACAGTGTTATTGCAGTGGGCAGGAATGTTTTCCAGTATCTGTCCTTGTGACAGGGGAGCTGTATCTAACAGTAATCCCTGACTCTGATCACAACATAAGTAAGATACCCTAGGTCAAAGGTGTCCAAACTACGGCCTGGGTGCCAACTGTGGTCGTGTGGAACACTTAATCGGCCCTCAGCTAATTCTAAAAGTATAATTAAGCAATAGCTCACGACAGGCCGTGGTATATGCTCATTATATCACAGCTAAGGGGCGTGGTTCGGCCCGACGCGAAGCGGAGGGTCGACAACCCCCTTAGCTTTTGTCAAACCTTGGGAAGTATCTAGATATCCCTGCCCTAATGCCAAAGGAACTGCACACTGAATATGTTTTTGCCGTTTGATGTCTATGTCTGGACCGTTGCGTAAAAAGGATGGAATATGACCCACACACGAAACTTGTATTTTGTAATAATATTGTAGTTATTAAATGTATATGTAAACATATATTACACAGTAGTATGCATGTGTCAATAAGCCCACTTTTCAGTCAATTCAGGTTGTTTTCTAACAAATCTTAGTTGATTAAAAAAAGCCCATTCACTTATTCATAACCAGCTTGAAATAGACCCTTCATATTTCCTCTTATGATAAGCAATCTGAGGCTTGAATGAAAGCCTCTGGAGAGCTGGGATGTAGTATCAAGCCAATCAATTTACCTACATTTGATTGATTTTGCTAACTTATAGCTTAACTTATGAGGCAGTATACCCCACCTCTAGTGAGGGGCCCTTTCTATGTTTTTCTGTATGATTCATGTGGCCCTCAGTGAAAACAGTTTGGAAACCCCTGTTTTAGAGAGACAATCAAATATTGACAACAACAACAGAGATTTTTGTAGAAGCAAACCACCCAGAAGTGTTAGAAAATATGTATATTACCCCTTTGTGTTTGCGAAGTGTATGTGAGGTCACACGGAGCTAACCATGAGCTAACCTAACAACTAGACTTTCAACTGCAAACCGCTTTAAGTCCCTTTATATATGGGGAAAATAGTATGTAGGCCTACATGTTTACGTTTACGCCTCTTTAATAAACATAGATGTATATTTTCTTACTCAATAAAGTAACTGTAGACTTACCTGTTTAGCAATTTCCACGAATTCTATGTTTTCTAAAACGCTGTAACGGAACATTCAGCACATCAACAACCAACTGAAATTCAAACTACTCTTCTTCGCCGGATCCACCAATCAGCGTTCAACAAGTGGGCGGGGTTAACTATTTGGGAGCGCTTGGTGAGTTATATCTACACTTTCTAAATGGGCGGGGATAAGATTGACAGTGCATTGAGTTTGGTTCGGTAACGGTGTTTGTATACACTGGGCTGAAGCCATAGATGTATTAAGCGCACCTTGAAGTTGGATGACCAGTCTTTTAAAAAGTCATTCGGACCCACGCGTCAGGCAGACTGTTTTGACCATACTCTATTTATACATTCTAGATTTTTATTTTGACCTATAATAGGATGATAAAACATATAATGGACTGCTAAAAGTTGCTACTGATTATTCATACTTTTTCTTATAATTTGTACATAAAACAGAACAATTTATGTTGTGCGAATGTGTTTTTTAAGAGGAAGAAAAATGTGTCTTGCTTATTTAACACACAAATAATGTATTGCAAAACTACTTCATACAATGATAATTTAAAAATACTAAGCAACATATTCCAAATCCATTCACCACACCATTTTATTTTTTATTTAGTACATTGATGAATTAGGCTACAACATATTTAAAAGGTTTTGGTCCACGAGGATACTTTTTTTTTTTATTGCATTTTTATTCAGGGTCCATGATCTGAACAGACTCGTCGACCACGACCAGAGGGAAGGGGGTCACAGTTTTGGTCAAGACCGCCGTGGTGCCAGGCTTATATCTGTACTGTCCCTCTCTGAAAAAGACAAGAAGGAGAAAAAGTCTTATTATGTGTTGCTTAAAGTTCTCTGTAAAGTTAAAACTGCAGGGTCAAACAGTGCTGGAGCCAGGAGCTTCAAGGCATTTGTTCTCAATAAAGAACTTTTTGTAGTTTATTAAATACTGTGTGTTGCATCATTGGAGGTGCTCGGGCCATAAGATTTTCATTGCCATTTCTACAATGTAGCTTATCCATCCATCCATCCATCCATCTTCTCCCGCTTATCCGTGGTCGGGTCGCGGGGGTAGCAGTTCCAGCAGAGAGCCCCAAACGTTCCTTTCCCCACATCAACCAGCTCTGACTGGGGGATCCCAAGGCCCTCCCAGGCCAGCGAAGAGATATAATCCCTCCACCTGGTCCTAGGTCTACCCCTTGGTCTCTTCCCAGCTGGACGTGCCTGGAACACCTTCCTAGGGAGGCGCCCAGGTGGCATCCTTACTAGGTGCCCGAACCACCTCAACTGGCTCCTTTCAACGCGAAGGAGGAGCGGTTCAACTCTGAGTCCCTCCCGGATGACTGAACTTCTCACCTTATCCCTAAGGGAGACGCCAGACACTTTTATCCAAAGCGACTTACATACTCAATACTGTGGACAATCCCCACAGGAGCAATTTGGGGTGAAGTGTCTCAGGGACACAACGGCATTCTGACTGCATTGGGGTTTGAACCTGTGACCCCCTGATCCGAACACATACGCACAACCCACTGCGCCACACGCATAAAAGACATGGCATTGTACAATAGAAATAAAAAAAGACTAGAAATGAACAAGAAAGTAGAAAATATACATGGTGAATTTACAAATGAACAATAGCAAAAACTAAATATAAAGCAAGTTATTATATATACTTAAGTATGTGAGGGATGGAATATAAAATATTAAACTCAATATATAAACGTAAATATGTACAAATATTAAATTGAGAACCAAAGCAGGTAGAAAAGCCTTCATGACGGCTCACCGTTTGCCCTTCATGGCGGGCTTGTCGTATCCTCGCAGCATCTCCACTCCGGCCTCAGTGATGATGCACAGGTCCACGTTGCTTCCTGACCCCAGGTCACAGAAGATCCCCGCAGTGATGGCTTCTCGTACGAGCTGCTTCGCCTCCTCCAGCTGAACGGGGAGAAGCAGGAAGAGAATAAAAAAGGTATTTGAGACATAATTATAAAAGAGGATACAAGTTAGTAGGTAGTGAACATTTGCAAAAATCCTCTGCACAGTAAAAATGTGAAATCTTGCCAAGTATATTTGTCTAATTTCTAGTAAGAATATGTCTTTACACTTTATATAAGACCTAATGACTTAAAGGTCCCATGTCATGCTTTTCTGGTTATTACTCGTCCCCTTGTGTTATGAAGGTGTTTCTGCATGTAAACGGTCTGCAGAGTCACAAACCCTCAAAGTACACCCTGTAGCGAGTAAAACTCTAACACAGAAAAGACCTGTCTGTGCTGCCCCAGAACGCCTCGTTGGGGATTTCTCTTTTTCCATTGTTTTCTTCTTATAGTGTAGTAAGTACAGTGACATATTGGGTATAGTGACGTAACGACTTCCTCACACACACACACTCAATCTTTTCTCAGCTGCAGCGCCACGGATTTCTCAGCCTGAACTCAGCCTGAGACGGCGAGACACGGCGGGGCTCGGCCTGGGCTCGTTCTGAGCACACACGCAGACTCACAGCCAGGCTGCAGGTGTGTGTGCAAGTGTGTGTGTGTGTGCTCGGGCTGGGTTCAGGCTGGGTTTCACTGTGTCTCGCAGATCCCCCGGAGCAAGCCAGCTCACACTGTCCGCTCCAGCAGCGAGCCCCGCAACGTCCTGCCAACACGGCACCCAGACCCCACGCAGCATTCTCATCTGTTTGTCATTACTGGTGTCATTTTCTGGCTGCTAACGCCATTGTAACACATAATCACTGATGTTCCGCTGTAACGGTGGTGGACTCATCAGAACAGAGTGGGCGAGCTGACCAATCAGAGCACAGTGGGCTCATAGGGAGGGGGGGGGGGCAGGAGCTCCAACAAGCCGTTTAGGACAGAGAGTGAATACACATACTATACAGAGATGCTGTATGAGAAACCAATGTGAGTTTGGAACATTGAACAATGTAAATATATTTTAGTAGACCTCAACAATGGAATTATGATCAGTAGAAATGGCCATGACATGGGACCTTTAAGAAGTAACATGTAGTGATATATAAAGTTTTGTTTTTAGACAATGCATCTATCTTTTGAAGTCAAAGCCTCTTGAAAACATCTGATTTTGAGTTGGATCTCAGAGGAAACAGGTTTATTAAGCTGCTGTGTTATTTGTAAAAGATAGATCCTCACAGGGAAACGGCATACATGTTTATAGGGATGGGTTTATATGTCAGATAATAAGAAAGCTAATATAATAAAGTGGAAGCACATTGTTCTGTGTTCTTGTATTTAGTGATTTTTGTGATAGTTCTGCACCTCGATGATTTTGCTCTTTCTTTTGGGTTTCTGACATCTTGTCTTGTCTTGTATCCTTGTTGGTAGATGTTTATACAACAGCTATACAGCTCCATGATGATATCATTTGCAACACACAACATGCCTTCAGTGTCACATTGATCATAGTCAGCCTCACCTCCATGTTGGGTTTGAATCTGTCTTCAAACACAGAGACAGCAGCCGCAGCTCCAGATCCTGAAAACACAACATGTTTGTTTTAAACCTTCCAGCCTGGTTAGCACCAGAGATGGCAAAAGTACACACATCCTTTACTCAAGTAGAAGTACAGATACTGTGTTTAAAAATACTCTGGTAAAAGTAGAAGTACTGACTAAACTTCTTTACTCAAGTCAAAGTAAAGAAGGCTTTGAAATGTACTTCAGTAAAAAGTACCCATAACTAGCAGCTGTTTTAAAGAGTACCTGACCTCCCTTTATATTAATAGAACAATAATGTCATTGTTAGCTAATGAATGTTTCCATGCTGAACAACGGCAACATGACAACGTTTTCATTGGTCCCTCTTCTTTAGAGAAGACCAGGAAATGATGGATACACGGATCGTGTTCAAATCAATAGGCACGCAATGACTCTAAAGAATAATGATCACGCCACCAAACACACATTCAAACTAAAGGAACCAGCCTGTTTGGAAAACGTAAGAAGTAGAAAGTACAGGTATTTGTGTTCAACATGTAAGAAGTAGAAAGTACAGGTATTTGGGTTCAAAATGTAAGAAGTAGAAAGTACAGGTATTTGTGTTCAACATGTAAGAAGTAGAAAGTACAGGTATTTGTGTTCAACATGTAAGAAGTAAAAGTAAAAAGTCGTCAGAAAAATAAGTAGTTGAGTAAAGTACTGATACCAGAAAAATGTACTTAAGTACAGTAATGTAGTATTTGTACTCCACTACTTCCCACCTCTGGTCAGCACACAGAGTCTACAGTGCAGGGAACTCTTACCCATGGTGAGGAAAGGCAGTTTGTCGTAGGAGCCGTGGGGGTAAACGCTGTACAGCTGAGGTCCCGTCACATCCACTCCTCCAACGATCAGAGAGGCACCGAGTTGACCCTGGTACCTGAGAAACAACCAGACATCACTACAGCATGCTTTCTCTGGGAGGAACACGTCCGCCTGCACATGCATGGATATCAATACAGTAAGAGACTGAAGAGACAATAAGGGTGTTTCAAAGTGAAATACGTCAATCAATCAATCAGTGTTTATTTATATAGCCCAATATCACACGTTACATTTGTCTCAGTGGACTTCACAGTTTGTACGGAATATCAATACGACAATACGACACCCTCTGTCCTTAGACCCTCACATCGGACAAGGAAACTTCGAAAGAAACCCCACAGTTAACGGGGAAGAAATGGAAGAAACCTCGAGGAGAGCAACAGAGGAGGGATCCCTCTCCCAGGACGGACAGACGTGCAATAGATGTCGTGTGTAACTCTGTCTGCTCACCTGAACAGCATCTGTTTCAGCTGCCGGGTCACCATGGTGACGAGTGCAGGTCGCCCGGTGTTGAGCATGTGCAGCTCCACGTTGGAAGACATGATCTGCGTGGTGACGTCAGCGTCTGCAGCGACGCCGGCTCCACAGCAGCTGAAGGACAGTGGACAGCTTCTTAAAGCACTTGGTCATTTCTACTGCTGCAAATAACACTAGAAAGTTTAAACCGATTCTGATATGTCAGGTATTACCTCAATAAATGGTCAAACCCTGCACAGGTCACCACCTCTAGAACACATTTTATTTAAATCCTTTTACACGAGTAACCTGACTAAAATTCACTTAAAGCAGGGGTGTCAAACTCAAGGACTCATCTCATTTTGTGACATGAGCACTGAAGAGACTTGCAATTATTTGCCCTAGACTTCTGCTTTAAGACGTAGTTATTCATGAAGTTATTACTCTATCCGATAATAATCCAATGCAGAGGCAATAATGTAATGTATGTATATTTATATAGTCTTAAAGTTTCAACCGGCCCTTTGAGTGCAACCATAATGCTGATGTGGCCCGATTGAGTTTGACACCCCTGACTTAAAGGAAGTGTCTTTCTCATGGATTCTTAAATACAAGCACAGGAAGAGCCTGTAAGTATATATATATATATATATATATATATATATATATATATATATATATATATATATATATATATATATGTACTAGTAGAAAGGACATGAACCATAAAGAATACCATATATAAAATGTTCTGGATAAGGTACACTGTTCTATAAAAGACCCATATTACAGTAGCAGATGTATACATATGATTGTATATAAATTACAGTTGTGTAAAATGTGCATTGTTATGGAGAGGGAGAAACTAAAACTATGAGGCAGTGAGTTCTCTGACAGACAGATTGAACAGCAAAGCATGATGTCAATGTATGTAATACAAACACCTTGAAGAGTGTATGACAAATAAAGGTCAAATGATAGCGGGAGTAATACTGTGAGATGCTGGGTTAGGGTCAAAGGTGGGAAGTAGTGGAGTACAAATACTTCGTTATTGTACAGTACTTAATTACATTTTTCAGTACTTTACTCCACTACTTATTTTTCTGACAACTGTTTACTTTTACTTCTTACATTTTGAACACAAATACCTGTACTTTCTACTTCTTACATTTTGAACACAAATACCTGTACTTTCTACTTCTTACATTTTGAACTCAAATACCTGTACTTTCTACTTCTTACATTTTGAACTCAAATACCTGTACTTTCTTCTTCTTACATGTTGAACCCAAATACCTGTACTTTCTACTTCTTACATTTTGAACACAAATACCTGTACTTTCTACTTCTTACATTTTGAACTCAAATACCTGAACTTTCTACTTCTTACATGTTGAACCCAAATACCTGTACTTTCTACTTCTTACATGTTGAACCCAAATACCTGTACTTTCTACTTCTTACATTTCCCAAACAGGCTGGTTCCTTTAGTTTGAATGTGTGTTTGGTGGCGTGATCATTATTATTTAGAGTCATTGCGTGCCTATTGATTTGAACACGATCCGTGTATCCATCATTTCCTGGTCTTCTCTAAAGAAGAGGGACCAATGAAAACGTTGTCATGTTGCCGTTGTTCAGCATGGAAACATTCATTAGCTAACAATGACATTATTGTTCTATTAATATAAAGGGAGGTCAGGTACTCTTTAAAACAGCTGCTAGTTATGGGTACTTTTTACTGAAGTACATTTCAAAGCCCTCTTTACTTTTACTTGAGTAAAGAAGTTTAGTCAGTACTTCTACTTTTACCAGAGTATTTTTAAACACGAGTATCTGTACTTCTACTTCAGTAAATGATGTGTGTACTTTTGCCCTCTCTGGTTAAGGTAGAACTAGCCTGTGTGTTGTCTCAGTAAACGGTGGCTCTACTCACTAGATGTTAGGAGCGATGTAGTGGATCTTCATGCAGTTTTTATCTGCCACCACCATGTCGTCTGTAGCCCGGGTGTCAGCTCCCAGGATCACTCCATCCTGACAGAGAGGAGAGAGAGAGTCAGCTGGCTCATATCAAGAGTGAAACATGCTGCTCCAAAAACAGGTACAAATATAATAAAAACAAGGTGTTTTCGCTTGTGTTCGGAAAATACTGAATGCACTCTTCCAATATGAGAGTAACATGATAACAAAGGTATCCCAACTGTAGCTGTGAACATGACAGGATGTATGATTACCTAGAAGAGCATCAGGACTGTTTTAGGCATATGATAGCTATGTGATTAACATGATGATTCAGCCTCTATGGAGATAGACATATGACAAGCATGATCATTTCTGACGTGGAGCTAATCTGAAGTAAACATTGAATACTGCTTTCTATTCCTCCATCTTGTGACTGTGTAACTCCCTCTCTTGGATATCAGCATGTGAAGGACTCTGTTCAGGAACTAGTTGATGCTCTGTATGTGATGACTACTTCCATTCTTGAGAGGATCACAAATACATGGATCCTGAGATTGAAGCTCAAGCCGGTGACGAGTGATATTTTTCTAACAGCTTGTAATAAGTGAACAAATCTGCCAATAGAACAAGTACAAAATGGCTTCAGTTAGATAAATCAGATCTTGTAATTAGCTGGGAAAACTTATTTTAAACTATATTTAATTATTATATGTAACAGAATTAGGGAATTTGAATTTGTTTCCTATAAAATAAGATGTTTTTAAGAGACTTTGACTTAAAAAGATGCTTAAGATGCCTTGTCTCAAAACAAGACTTAAGTTATTAGGTCAAGTGTAAAGATATATTCTGACTAGATATTAGACTAATATAATTGGCAAGGTTTCACATTTTTGCTGTGTGCTGCCGACATACAGAGCGACCAGGTGCAGCAACCTCTAACATAAATGTGTTTAGTGTTAGTTTCTTACATGTAAAGTCAGAGATACTTGCTTCATCCCCAATCTGAAGAATTGTTTCAGGTGAAAAATGTAATGAGGAAACATTTATTTTCAACATGTTGAAAGTATTCCTGATGGCCTATAAAAAAAACTCTTTCCTGTATGCAGCACAAGCCAATGTACCAGCAGGATTCCTGTTTTCTTGAGTTTGTATCTTCATGGTTGATTGCACTTACTGTCGTTTCCTTATAGTGTTAGCTGAATGAAATGTAATATTGCATCTGTCTTCGTCCATTTTAATAAATATTGTGAAGGATATTCATAAATCATCTTTAAAATGGCATGGGTAACAAGTAGACGAAGAAGTGTTGCAACCCTCCCCAGTTTCCCCTACAGCAAAGTCATCAGGGCATATTTCCAAAAATATCATAATGTACGTTGTAGTGGCAGTTTCCGGTCCACACTGAATGCAGACCCTCACCTTGAAAACTATCCCAGCTATGGTGGTCCCGGTCTTTCTGGCCCCTGGAGCTTTGTATCCGGACTCTGACAAGCTGGACTCCAGAACTGCATTCCTGGAAAACATGAATGAGACAGACTCCTATCAACTCCTTCAGTGTACCAGTGATATAGAGGTATAGACAGAGAGATGGCAAAAGTACACACATCCTTTACTCAAGTAGAAGTACAGATACTCGTGTTTAAAAATACTCTGGTAAAAGTAGAAGTAGGCTACTGACTAAACTTCTTTACTCAAGTAAAAGTAAAGTACCCATAACTAGCAGCTGTTTTAAAGAGTAGGCTACCTGACCTGACCTCCCTTTATATTAATAGAACAATAATGTCATTGTTAGCTAATGAATGTTTCCATGCTGAACAACGGCAACATGACAACGTTTTCATTGGTCCCTCTTCTTTAGAGAAGACCAGGAAATGATGGATACACGGATCGTGTTCAAATCAATAGGCACGCAATGACTCTAAATACTAATGATCACGCCACCAAACACACATTCAAACTAAAGGAACCAGCCTGTTTGGAAAATGTAAGAAGTAGAAAGTACAGGTATTTGTGTTCAAAATGTAAGAAGTAGAAAGTACAGGTAGCCTATTTGTGTTTCAAAATGTAAGAAGTAAAAGTAAAAAGTCGTCAGAAGAATAAGTAGTGGAGTAAAGTACTGATACCAGAAACATGTACTTAAGTACAGAAACGAAGTATTTGTACTCCACTACTTCCCACCTCTGGGTATAGAGAGGGTAAAGGCAGATCAACATGTGCACAGATAAAGTCATGGCAGGTTGGAGTCACTCAGTATTCCCTCCACCATTTTAAAAGTGACAATAGTTGTTGGCTTACCTGCGGGTGTTCTCGAAGCAGAATCCTCCAGTCTGAATCTCACAGGGCTTCAAGGTGTGCAGCATGTTCTCAGAGAGCAGAGCTGAGGGTGAACACGGGGATTAAAACCTTCAACTAAAGCCCTCAGAAGTCAAGCGGAGTGTCAGCACTTCTCAGGTTTTTACTTTTACTTTCACTTCTTTACCGCAAGTCAAGCCTTCCTGCTCTCCACTGTAAAATATATTCACACTCCTATCAACACTCCTATCAAAAATATCAACACTCATCAGACATTTGTTCTCATTTTGAGTTTGAAATAGGATTTTTTTCATCAAGAACAACAGAGATGTGTTTTGTTGACACTTCAGGAAGGGTCTCCACCTCTAACTGTAATAACTTAATCTTAACTTTGGCAACGTTTATGGAATTACTGTAGATGTGTGTTGACATTTGTTATCATATTGAGTTTAAAATAGGATTTTTTCATCAAGAACAACAGAGATAAAGTTTGTTGACACTTCACTTTTTATCCAAGTTGAATTTGTTTCTTCTCTTGGATCAAATCTCTCAGGTGAGGAGTAAAGAAAGGTCTCCACCTCTACCTGTAATAACTTCATCTTAACTTTGGCATCATTTATGAAATAACTTGAATGTGAGTTAACTCTTTTTCTGAATTGATAGCCTGTAAGTCGCTCTCTTTAAGGAATACAAATGATTAAAAAGCTCATGAGACAATACAACTGCTTAAAATATGTACTGATCTTTCTTGCAGTGTATTACAAATTGCCCACAGTTTAGTGTTACATTAAAAACTGTCAAGGTGAAACAATAAAGGACTCAGCATGGTTCCTGGAGGCCTGCAATGTGAGCTGATGTGATCTACTTTCACTTTTTCTCCCTGCTTTTAGTGAAGTTAACTGTAAGTGGACCTAAAATAACCAAACATTCACTATTCATTGTTCCTGCTCTTATCAATAATGTGTTTTAAGATCGTGCTGAAATGTAAATCTACATTGAAACTTAGGAAAAATCAGTCATCAGTCATAAGTGTTTTGAAAACAATGTATTTCATTTGCGAGGAAGTGTTGAACAAGTCCATCAAACACAATGCTTCATGTTATTATGCATGTTTCCTGCTAGACTGTCCTCCCAATATGATTAGCATAACTTCTGCACAGAATAATTTCATCTCTTCCATTACTACTGTATGCAGAATATCACAAAAACACATAATGAAATGCTGACTGGCCAACATAGTCTATTAAATGAAGACACACCCCTCCCATAGATAGAGTTCTTATTGAAGTCTACACACAGATAACTGGCGCATCACAAAATAATCTTACATCAGTATAAACATGGCACTTCAAAGTTGTTTAAATTAAATTAAGAGCCTGTTTTCTGATTAAATTCTGAATTGTGTCAGTCCTTGTATGAAAAAAAGACACGGTGGAAGACATTATGCAGAATACACCACTGGCTGTCGTATGGTAGAACATGTAAATATGCATGTGGAAATCAGAGGGCACAGATGAATACAATCATTAAATAAAAACATGGATTAATACACTGCATGTTCTGAGTATCAATGCTCAATAAAGACATGTTTATGACAACACAACACTTGATGAGTGATGATTGGGTGATGACAACACCATTCGTTATGTGATCTTATGTGATCTTAGAAAGCCATGAAGATGTTATTAACTTTATAAAAATCCTTGGACTGTAAATATAAGACTTAGCAAAGTTATGTTCGAGTAAACTCCAGCAGACATGTCCCCTGAGTTATCAAACAGTGTACATTTAAGGCACAGAGGCACAAACCAGAGTGTGTCAGGCTATTCATGTAAAAATAATTAATAACTGAGTCTCATCTCATCAGGTTTTTGTTGATATTAAAAAGGATTTAAAGAAAATCCATTCATTTGTATTAATCAGTGTTACACTTTGAAACAGAACGGGCTGTAAAACGATTGTCCATCATTATGATTATTGTGCATTGTACCAGCAGAGGAACAGCACCTACCTGCCAGTCATTACAAAGCAGTAATCACACATTATTTAAAGTGCATAATCAATCAAATCAGGAGAATACTGTATCTTGGACGTCCTGCGAGGGGTTCAGTCAATCACTCAATCACACACAGAGTGCTCTTCCTATCAAAGAGGCTCATCAGCGCCACTGATCCATTTCACTTCACAGGGGTTATTAAAGTCCAGTTTCACAGTTTGGCTCTGGGCGTTTGCTCCAGCAGTTTCCTCATGTCCTGCAGAGCTGCCTCCACAGCCCGGGCCAGATGTGCTGCGTTAGTTTCTGAACAGCTGTTGAAAGACGACACTGCGAAGTTGATGTGATCGTCCATGGGGTTGTAGCACACGCCGTATCCGCTGGGTGAAACCGGGCCGAAGCACATCACACAGTCGGTCTTTGACGGTACCTTGTGAAGAAATGAGAAAGCAGTGTTAGCGGTTAGCCTTCTCCATCTGGAACTCACTTCCCAAAAACATCTGTGAAGGCACTGATCTCCCCATGTTCATATCACAAATTAAAAAAACCTCACCTCTTCAGAACTGCTTTTAATCTGTAATTAATGTTTTATTTTGTGATCATATTTTTTTAATTTAAGCAGAAACAGAGAAAAACATGGTACAAAACTAGGGTTGCAAAGGGGCGGAACATTTCCGGAAAGTTTCCATGGGAAGTTAAGCTGGGGGAATTTTGGAAATATTCGATGCAAAATTAAACAAAAAATGACAATCCAACAAATTTGTTGTAATTTCTTTTTTTTTTAAAGTAGAATAGAACAAGTTTTAATTTTTTTATTGAACAATTATTTGTTTCATTGAAGAACGAAAACAGGAATGTTGAGTTAAATATTACTCATCACCCCCAACCCCCCTCATTATCATTCCAAAAATCCCCACAAAGTCCCATTCAAAATATTAAATGAAAAGAGCCCTTCTCCCTTCCCTGTTGCGAACCTTTGTGTGGTCTCAATAGCCATGCAGTAAGCGGCATGGATATTAAAGTGTACTTGCATGGCATCTGTTTGTTTTAGTCAAGATTATAATAATAATAATAGATTAATTTTGTTAGCGCTTTTACAGGTGCTCAAAGACGCTTTAGAGATATAGTGAAAATGTTATGCTAAAATATACTTTCCCCAACTATATTTAAGTTCCCTATAAAGAGCCAACCTTCAATTTAGAAAATTCCCAGTTTATTCCCATAAATTCCCGTGGAAAGTTTCCATCTTGCAACCCTATACATACCACGTGAAAGAACATACAAACAGTTCCCTTACAAAACAAACAAAAATATAATAAAAACCCCACCCTCAGGACCACTTCAGAGACATGTTTTCTATATATCTGAGATCTATAATATATTGATGAAAAACAGTATAATAGGGGACCTTTAAGTCTTAGGAAAACATCGATTTGCCGTTATGTAGTGGCGGTACACAGCGCTGGTTCATACCTGACTTGTAGAGAGTTTGTACTCTGAGGCTTTGGAGTAGGCGGGGTCCGTGTAGATTTCAGGGACGGAGACTTTCTCCTCCAGAGCGATCATCTTAAGGCCCAGCAGGTGTCTGTCGATGGCCTGGCCGCTGATCGCCTGATGGAGAGAAGGATGTTAGTCACCAGATGTTAACTACTTATTAACTAGACATGCTTTATTCTGTATCTTCCTTGTTGCAGGAGCTAGAAGTACAAATTCAATAATACAGTATTTAGCTAAGCAGTAGGTTGTTGTAAGTGTAAGTAAGTATTGTAAGTGCCTCAAACAAGACAAAATAGTACTGTTTTTTGGAATATGGTGGTGTTTAGGTGAGTATTTGGGCAGCAGGATTGTGTGTATGGGGTTGAGTCTAAATAAACTACGGTGTGTGTTCATGGTAACGAATGAACATGTGCCAGTGCAGTTCTTTGTAAAACAATGGGGCTCGATGGCAGAAAGGAAGAAGATATATTAAGCTTTGACACACACCGTGCTTCTCAGTAGGAAACATTCACTGTAAGTTTGAGCTTTGTTGACAATTATTACTAGACGTGTTGACTTTGTTCATCCTGTGAATACTCACCATGTTAGTATACGCCCTGTGAGCATGAACAGCTTTCTCCATTAGATCCACCTTCTCTGTGTTCTGGTGAAAACAGGAAAAGGAGGGAAACATAACACAAACTGTTTTTCCTCAATATAGAATTGTTTCCTATAAGAAGAATTTATACTCATTTGGGGACGTGCCCATAAAGCGTTTTGTCTCTGGCAGAAAAGCGCTTTCTTTAGTTTTTATACTGCCATTGTAACTTATGGCGCGTTTCCACTACAGCGCGGAGCACGGTTTAAGAGGGCTGTGACGTCAGCGGCCCGTCTTTGGTTGCGTTTCCACTTGGCCTAGTACCGGCCGGCGGGTCCTAATTCAGTTTTTCTGGCCTCATAAAATCGTGGGTCTAGGGCCAGAGACAACGAGGCTGAGTCGGGCTGAGTATGCTAAACTAGAGAGAGCATCGCTGGCAAGGGGGCTACAACTACAACAAGATGGACATATTTGACCGTGATTTAATTGTAATACACGTTTCAAAATGATGCCGAAGTAACAACATACTGATACCGGTTAGTAAAAACCATGAATTAATGCTTTGTCAAGTCTGCAGACAGACGGCAGGCGAAAAACCTTTTAAAATGTGTGTTTTCTGAATGGAGATCGGCTAAGCTAACGCAGTATATGCTCCGACCGTCCACACTCACAACAACGGCCTATACAGACATAAATAAAGCAGCGACTGTATTCACCATGACACAGGCAGTCTGTGGTTTGTACTTGTTTCACTTTTGTCGAGTTTCTGAACAGATATGAGGAGCTGTGAGCTCTGAGTGCTAACAGCTAACGGCTGATGTTGGTTTTGTGTTTCGCATTGAAGATGACGTCACGGCTCCGCCTACACTGCGTTACTATAGATACTACCCCAGTTCCTAAACTGTAATGGAAATGCGCCATAAAGTGAGCCAGTCCTAACGAGGCCTAGCCATACCGAGCGAGGCCGTGTAGTGGAAATGCGCCATTAGACTGACACAGACCTTTGCTTTTTATTACCCAGCTCCATTACTATACGTATGTTTAAAACTGTTTTTAACATGAGCACCAATCAGAGGATAGATGATTTGCTGCCTGTGAAGAAGTGACTGACAAAGTTCCCTATGAACCAGCTGGTGTACCGCGTCAATACAAATACATCCCATAAAAATGTCCCTTTTAATCACACCTGTTTGCTGAGGTCATCAAAGGCCTTGGCGAAGGCAGCGGAGGCGCTCGAAGCAGATCTGATTGTGTCTGTGCGGCCGAATCTGAACATACGCAGGGAGGCGCTTTCATACGTGGCACAGCAGCGCTGGTTCATCCTGCAGAGAGAAGAGCAGTGTGCAAAAACTGACTGGTGGAGGTAATGCATCGACAAAGGTAGGGACGCATTTCTGACGGTTCTCATGACAAAAGGTGACATTATTCTTTATCTCATTTAAAGTTTTTCACGAGTAATGTCCCTAATGGCAAACATTAAAGTTCCCCTATTATACTATTTTTATTACAGGTCTCAGATATATACAGAGCCTGTCTCTGATTGGCTGAAACACCAAACAGATCATTGCAGCATCCCATAATCCCCTCTGTTTCAGCCCTGTTTCCAAAAGTGCTGATTCTCTGTCTGTTACTTTAGATGAAAATAAGGAGCCCCTCCCCACGCCCCTCTGAGAGAGATTTGGTTACAAAGAACACAATGGTGCTCTAGGAGGAGATTCAGGTGATAAGGTGGTGGGGGGGTTACCTTGGTTGGTGATTGGCTAATGGTTACACAAGACAACAAAATCATTATGACATCATAAAGTGGCCAAAATCTGATCAGCTCATTTTCAGACAGGTTTTTATAGAAATGGATCAGGACAAAAAGAGAGAGAATCTTTGTTCCTGAAACTTTCAGAGTCTCTTTACACAGAGGGGACACATGTTGATGAAGAAGAGACATGAAGAAGAGGGGACACATGTTGATGTAGAAGAGACATGGAGAAGAGGGGACACATGTTGATGTAGAAGAGACATGAAGAAGAGGGGACACATGTTGATGTAGAAGAGACATGAAGAAGAGGGGACACATGTTGATGTAGAAGAGACATGAAGAAGAGGGAACACATGTTGATGTAGAAGAGACATGAAGAAGAGGGGACACGTGTTGATGTAGAAGAGACATGAGAAAGTGGATTTTGCACAATAGGTGACCTTTAAAGAACTTTTATATTATATGTACCTCAAAACTTGAATCTATTACATCTCAGTCAAGGACACAAACATCCTTATTGCAGCGTACATGAACTATGTGATAAAGATGAATTGACATGAAGCTATCTGGTTAGCTTAGCGTTAAAAGTCTCTATAAAAACCACTTATCCAAGACTTCCCAGCCTCTCACCTGTAGTAAGCCAGCTGAAGCGCCACCTGTATGAAAGCATCGGGGCTCATCTTGTGGGTCTTTGGGATATTTTTACCAAAGTGGCCAAATACGATGACCTTGGTGTCCAGCTCCTGGGCCAGTCTGTGGGGGGAGAAATTAACCTCTCATTACCATCATAACATAAGGTAAACATACACATATATACACTTAATAATAAACGTTATTTGTAAACACAGTAAAACACGGACAATGATACCAGGGAGAATTGAAAGTCAACCCAAATTAAAAGCCATATTAAAAAGATTAATTTGCTTTTAAACATTTCAAGGGAGTCACTAAATATTTGAAGAACTTTTAGCGGATACTACTTCTGTACTTTATTATTCTGAAATGGGCCATTGTGCAGAATGAGTACTTTTACTCTTTGTAATAAGTAACTTTTGATCTTAATACTTTTGTACTTTTACATTTTGAAATCAGGACTTTTACTTACTAGTAAAGGACACATTTAAGACCATAGTATTTGTAAATTTAACTTAAGTAAAGTATCTTGAGCACTTCTTCCAATACTGCAATTTACTGTGTGTGTGTGTGTGTGTGTGTGTGTGTGTGTGTGTGTGTGTGTGTGTGTGTGTGTGTGTGTGTGTCACCTGAAGCGTCTTGTCGAACCAGACCATAGTATTTGTAGTTTTACTTAAGTAAACTATTTAAGTACTTCTTCCAATACTGCGATGTACTACTGTGTGTGTGTGTGTGTGTGTGTGTGTGTTGAAGTAAAAAGATATGATTCTAAACTGTATTAGAGTAAACATGTATTGTTTGAACTGTTTTAAGTAATCCCATATAGAAATGATATTCTCACTTACAACTCACTGACACAGAGATCCTGTTTCACCCACACACAGCTCCTTTTTACCAGAGCGCACACACATGTTCTTTTCAAGGTTCAGTATGTTCTTTCTGGGCTCATTATATCTGTATACAATGTTTAATTGTCTGAGAGTAACAGTTTATGTGAAAGATGCCATGGGAAAATAATGGAGTGAATACCGGTGCAGAGATAAGATTGACTTTGACCTTGTAGAACCTTAGAATCTCACGTTCTGGTCAGAACTCTGATTCGCTGTATTGAACCCGGCCAGAGGTGGATCCAACCAGTAAGGACACCTGGGGGAGTGAGCAGCTCACACAGCTCCTCCCCACGGACTCTCTGATTCGCTTCGGAGTAAAATGGGAAGGAAGAGTCGACACATCTCCGCCCCAAAATATGGATATAAATACTGTTGTTTTTGTATGTAAAAATACTTCTTGTTTGATGAGTTGGCTGGTCCCGATACTTGTATCCGCATCCCATCACAAACCTGAAGTCCGGAGTACTCTGTACAACTAAGTATACGTGTTTTATTTCCTACAAGTAAACTCAGATAATTGTTATAACTTTTGATTCCGGTGTTTTCAATTCCTTTCTTTATTAAATAGAGATCAGCCTCATTCAACGAACGGCGCGCAGCAGAGGGGGGGGCTATCAGCCACCATAATAGGTGTTCTGCTCCAACAGTGTGTGTGTGTGTGTGTGTGTGTGTGTGTGTGTGGTGTGTGTGTGTGGTGTGTGTGTGGTGTGTGTGTGTGTGTGTGTGTGTGTGTGTGTGTGTGGTGTGTGTGTGTGTGTGTGTGTGTGTGTGTGTGTGTGTGTGTGTGTGTGTTGTGTGTGTGTGTGTGTGTGTGTGTGTGTGTGTGTGTGTGTGTCATAATGTCACTGAGTGTGTTAGTAAAGTAATCCCTCACATGTCCATGGCGTGCTTGGCCTCCTCGATGTCCTTCTTGATCTCAGGTGTGATGTTGAAGTGCAGTTTTTGGGGCATGGGCAAAGGCACCATGGGAGTCCGCACCATGTCTGGCTTCCTCCTATTAGCACAAACAAAAATGATCATCAACATGGAATAAAAACAAACTAAGGTTGCAGTCAAATAGTGCTTTTTGCTAAGGGACGGTTCCTAACGGAGTGATATGAGTACTTATAAGTGTCAGCCACGATTAGAGCTATTTCAACTCTGTAGAAGAAAAGAAAAAGGATCCTCAATGCTTCCTTCATTATCTCCTTTACGATAGGATACATCAGACCATCCTTTACCAAGGGAAAGGAGATAATGCACTCCCACAATTCTTTGCGGCTGCAATATTTAAAGTGCCATTACTCCATTTGGGAAACCAACTCATGATGGACAAATGCACATGATGTAAATTACAGTGCGTACTAAGCATTTTCCGTCTCATGCGATATATTGCCGGTGTGCTTCTATGTTTGAACTTTCATTAATATGTTAAACCAAAAAGGAGAACTATGAATTTAACATGAAAACATGACCAAAGGAAGTCAAACATTTACTATGTTTAGTTGGGTAGTGATTTTTAAGCAGATTTCTTTTTAATCAACATGTTTGAATGATAATATGCACAGAAGTAGTAGTAGTGTATATGTGTGTAATCCATATATTTCATAGGTTATTATTTATTCATACAATCATACTAACTGGGATTCATGTTGATTCATACGAGTGGACAGTAAGGGGAAAACATTTCCTTACCGTCCTGCTCTCTTACTTGTTGCTGAACTTGCAAAAACCCTACAACAAGAATAAATACAAACGTAAACATAAACGATCTTAGACCTACTTACGTGTATTCCACAACATGGTCGATCAGGGCCACTATAGGCGGGCCCTCAGCTGGGGCGTGCTCATAGTTCGCACCACATGTCCCGTCTTCTCCAATAATAAACTGAGAGAAAGAACAGACACAGAACGTAGGACAAGAATGTGTAAAACATTGGCATTCAATCATCTTAGCTTATCAATTCTGTTAGAGCCAGGCAAGTCCTTCTGGTCAAAATCAAGTGTTGAGTTATATAGTTTTCACAGGGGGCCAGAGACACTATACAACAGGACTACTGGTCAAGGACTTCACTTACATGTATAAATAACAGGATAACATAATAACCAAAGTAATATAATACTGTGAAAAGTGTGTGTGTGTGTGCGTGTGCGTGTGCGTGTGTGTGTGTCACCTGGAGCGTCTTGTCGAACCAGCGGTTGCCACTGTTCCACTGACTGCCTCCTCCGTGCAGCATCTGGACGGCGGCAGAGCTGCGGTACGTCTCATCAGAAACCTGAGGCATGGCTCCGTCCAAACACAGAGTGAAGATGCTCCTCTGGATGGCCCACACCGACTTTTTGTTGGTCTTATCTAGACATATCAGATAACCCGCAAACATGAGACTAATTGTTTTTTTCTGCTATCGGAGAAGACTTCACGTCACTGATATCATGGGAGTTGTCGTGGCTTCCTTCCTTGTTTTCTATCAAGCCACTAGACGCCTTAAACAGACATTTTAAACTTGTTTTCTGTTGGGAAAATACAGAATGTCCTCTCCTAACATCAGAGTAACATGATAACAAAGGTATCCCAACTGTACCTGTGAACATGACAGGATGTATGATTACCTAGAAGAGCATCAGGACTGTTTGAGGCATATGATAGCTATGTGATTAACATGATGATTCAGCCTCTATGGAGATAGACATGTGACAAGCATGATCATTTCTGACATGGAGCTAATCTGAAGTAAACATTGAATACTGCTTTCTATTCCTCCATCTTGTGACTGTGTAACTCCCTCTCTTGGATATCAGCATGTGAAGGACACTGTTTCAGATTTTGAGTAAAAAGTCAGAATTTTGAGAAAAAGTCAGAATTTTGAGAAAAATACAGAATTTTGAGATTTTCCGAAAAAAGTAAGAATTTTTTGAATTTGAGAAAAAAGTAAGAATTTGTAGATTTGGGGGAAAAAGTAAGAATTTTGAGAAAAAGTCAGAATTTTGAGAAAAAGTCAGAATTTTGAGAAAAAGTCCGAATTTTGAGAAAAAGTCAGAATTTTGAGATTTTCCGAAAAAAGTAAGAATTTTTTGAATTTGAGAAAAAAGTAAGAATTTGTAGATTTGGGGGAAAAAGTAAGAATTTTGAGAAAAAGTCAGAATTTTGAGAAAAAGTCAGAATTTTGAGAAAAAGTCAGAATTTTGAGAAAAAGTCAGAATTTTGAGATTTTCCTAAAAAATACATAATTTTTTGAATTTGAGAAAAAATACAGTATTTTGAGATTTTGAGAAAAAAGTCAGAATTTTGAGATTTTTAGTCCGAATTTTGGGGGGAAAAATCTGAGTTTTGAGAAAAAGACAGAACTGGTAGAAAAAGACAGAATTTGTAGATTTTGAGAAAAAAAACTCAGTATTTTGTTCATGACACAATTTACGATTACCTACAAGAACCGGTATTCCTCCATCTTGTGACTGTGTAACTCCCTCTCTTGTATATCAGCATGTGAAGGACACTGTTCAGGAACTAGTTGATGCTCTGTATGTGATGACTACTTCCATTCTGGAGAGGATCACAAATACATGGATCCTGAGATTGAAGCTCAAGCCGGGGACCAGTGAGATTTTTCTAACATTTTCTTTCCTTTATATTCGTCTTAATCACGGTTGATGAGTTGCTTGGCCTCCGTTAATGGGATGATATTGTGCAATGCTAAAAATAAAATAACAAACAACTTAGGTCTTCTTTCTTGCTTTCTTTCTTTGTTAAGGCTTATATAACTTGATAACTCAAAGGAAAATGTAACGGTTAAAAACTGTGCTTCGATGGCGTCTTTCTAAGAGGTTGCCCATCACTGCCGTGGGAATTGTAGTCTTTTATGCTCTGGTTGACTACAGACGTCACGATTAGGTGGCCTGTCTTATAAAAACGAAATACTGGCTCTAACAGGACTGTTATCTCACCCTTGTTGAGGTTGACGTAAGCCTTGCCCCAGGAGTCTCGGTGCTGGGTGGTGAGGATGCCCACGGGCTCCATGTTTGTTTGAGAGGAGGAACTGCAAATCCTGTCCAGCTGAACACAGAACTGATCCGCTGTCAGTGGAGTGCCATCACTGTTGTACACCTCCAACACAAAGAACTGAGGGCATGTGGAGGAAAGACAGGAAAGGCTCAGTCAGGCTTCTCATATAGTAAGCACACAATCATCATTATTTTACTCAATCTGGACTACTGAACTCTACTGTGGTGGTTGACTTTTCTAGAGCATTAATGTAAGACCCAGTGAAGCCAGGTTACTCAAAGAGCCATTCTAAATTTGACTTCTGGATCTGGATTAATACTGAGCAAAACCCAGAGGTATCGCGCTCAGTGGGGGATGAATATTCCCCGCTAAATCTTTATTACAATGTGCCGGAAGCACACCGCGGACTCTGCGATGACAGCTTCTTCTGGCAGCATGTTTCACTCTCTGATTGTTCTTGGAAAGAATGAGTATTTCAGAGTGTCACTAGATGTGGATATTGTTAACTTACATGCACTATTTCTGTTTATGTTTAATGTGTTCACTTTGAGTTTTATTGTGAAGAACCGTCCGGAAGTGTTACCGGATGTTGTCAAGTGTTACGTGGGAGTTGGCGGTGTGCTGAAATAAAGTGTCGTGCTAAGACGAAAGTGTGTCTTATTATCGAGTAACAGATATTCTCTGGAAGTTCAAGGAGTTAGCTTTGCAGGGCCATCATTCTAAGAGGCTTTAGGGTATATTGATGCATCAAGGGCTGAGATGTTATGGACAATCTTGAAGAAGAGAACTAGTTCAACCGTTTGAGCATTTCTGTGACACTGCTGTCCAATTTATAATCTCTAACTGCACCTCTACGTTACACTGTTTCCAGATAATCCTTTTCTTTATCGGTGATAATTAGGCCCCTGGTACCAGAAGAGCTTAAAGGTCCCATGTCATGGCCATTTCTACTGATCATAATTCCATTGTTGAGGTATACTAGAATAGATTTCCAAAATCGCATTGGTTTCTCAAACAGCATCTCTGTATAGTATGTGTATTCACTCTCTGTCCTAAACGGCTTGTTGGAGCTCCTGCCCCCCCCCTCCCTGTGAGCCCAGTGGCCGTCTGCGAGACAGCGAGACACAGCGAAACCCAGCCCGAACACACACACCCGCAGCCTGGCTGGGAGTTTTTGTGTGTGCTCACACACAAACTCCCAGCCTCGCCGCGTCCCGCCGTCTCAGGGAGGAGACATTGGCGGAGCTGCAGCTGAGAAAAGATTAAGTGTGTGTGTGTGAGGAAGTCCGCGGATTGGTCAATTTGGACCAATCCACGGACGTAACGGCTCCACGGATTGGTCCATTTGGGTATGGGCACATCACTGTACCCAGGAAGAAAAAGAGAAATCTCCAACGAGGCGTTCTGGGGCAGCATAGACAGGTCTTTTCTGTGTTAGAGTTTTACTTGCTACAGGGTGTACTTTGAGGGTTTGTGACTCTGCAGACCGTTTACATGCAGAAAAACCTACATAACACACAAGGGGACGGGTAATAACCGGAAAGCATGACATGGGACCTTTAAACAAATGTGCAACGTTGACCAGTGTAGTTCCGTCTAATCCAAAAATGTATGTATCCACATGTAGCAATAAGCTTGACTCCAACAAAAATAAGTCTGCGGAAAGTTTGGCTGACTCTTTACTTAAACAAAAGGTATCAGTACAAACACATATTTTCAAAGGTCAAAAAACTATATTGCTCCGTGATTCTTTTCTCATTCTAATTACCAGCAGCTGCGGTCGGCTATGACGTCAATTTTACAACGGCTGGTTTAAATAAATTATATAATAATACTAATAACAAAGGATTACAATGTTCAAATATATCTATATACACACATAATATATCAAATTATACATTTTAACATATGGCTCCTACAACCAGTGTTCACTCACCTGATGGTTGTGAACTACAGTTATGTGTGTCGGGGGTCTCGAGCTTTTAGCATGGTTCACCACCGAGTCGCTCTTCAGGCCGGGGATACGGCAGGACGACAGCACTTTGTAGTACTGATTCATACACAGGGGCTTCGCTCCCATAAATTCAACTGGCAGGGTCTCACTGCAAGAAATATTCATGACTCAGCTGATTAGTTACACTATTCAACGCGCTACTGTGTTTCAAAACGTGGGTTTACTCATGTGAAAAAAGCTTATTATTCCAAATTATGTTATAAATACACAAGTTGATCAATCATATTCCAGAACAACAGCGTACAAATCAGCTGGCTCAGTGATGATTTGTGACAATTGTTAATGTAATAAGCTGCATTTTCATACTGTGGAAGTTTATTTAAGAAGGTATGGTAGACTGCGTGACCCAATAAGAACACAGTTGTTTACTTGTTCTTATTATAGGCAACAATAGCAAAAGGAGGCTAGGAGACAAAACCATTAATAGGACAAAATAAGCAGTGTTAGTCAACAAGGAGGATATTATAAGCACGGTACTCACTTGTCAATCATTGTCTTAAAGTCCAAAACACCTGCTATCAGTTTGGCAGCAAACCTAAGCAGAGAGAACATGATGTTATTCAAACAATAGTTCAGAAGTGATTTTTAAATGACAAAACCATTCGTGTTTATGGTTCAAATATACCAGAATGCATCTAATTCAGATAATCATAATGTATGCTTTCATTGTTTCAGAGTAACACAAGAATGCATCTCTGCCACCTGTCTGTAAATGTGTTGGATATAAACTGAGCGGACATGCGATACCTTATTTGTCCCTGTTTATCTCTGAAGTTCATGCGGGGCAAGACCAACCCGGGACTTGAATGCACCACCACGGGCAACCGGTAGTCCAGATAAGCAATCTGCACCCACCATTGTGACAACTACAAAGACAGAGAGAAACAGAGTCAATAACAGATCAATAATGCACTTTATGAAAAGGAAATAGGTGAAATGTCAGAGGGGTTTTCAAATACATTGATTAGGCAAAGAACAAAATCCTAACAGGTCGTGTCAGGGCAACGCATCTCAAGTCAATTTGGATTAACTTAAAAATAGTGTATGTATATATATAATTTTGTTTATCTGTGTGAGTATTTAATTACGGAACTATCTTTTATTTCTTTATCCTGCAATCCTCTGTATAAGCCTTGCTTTCTGCCCTCCCGCTTCTACTCAATTATTTTTATTTTTCGGATGTATAAACTGTCTAATTGTTGAAATAGTAGAATACATTTAAAAATAATAATAATAACACAAATTTCCCACACAAGTCTCACCCAGTTCTCGGTGTTCTGTGCTCTCTTTTCCAGACTTTTCTGAAGTCTCTCTCCCAGCCCTCCTGCTTTCTGGAACTCGTCCACCAGTTCTTTGGTGTGCTTCAGCTCATCCAGCTCCATGATGGGCTCCAGAGCAGAGATGTAGCGCTCGCAGGTCTGCTGCAGGGGGGGCACCGGCAGCGTGGGCAGGCCCTTCTGGTGCGTCAGGTATCTGCCGGAGACTCGAGTCAAAGACACCGGCTTCACCAGGTGACGGAGCTTCATGAGGCCGCATGGTTTCGCCCTCCCCACCTTCACAGGAAGACAAAGGAGTGTCCGTTTAATACATGTTTCTTATCTCATGTTCCTTTACATGTCCAAAGTAACTGTGTGTTAAATGCATGTAGTGGAGTAAAAGTACAATATCTGCCTCTGAAATGTAGGTACACAACTTGAACAAATATACTTTTCTGATAAATTGTGACCATATCTAAAGAATAGTTGTTGGTTGCAGTTATAACGAGGTACCGGTAGGGGGCAGTCTGTCCTTATTTTCAACCTGACAACAGTACCATTATGTAAACAAGAGTACTAAACAGCAAATAACAAATGTCCAAAATATTCAGATTAAGTTTCTGTTATCCTATGGACTGGCTAAACTGAATAAATTAAATGTACTTAAGTTACTAACTAACTGTACCTAACTTCTTCAGACATGTTATTCCAGTGAGTTTGCCGAATAGCAAGATAAGTCTGATGATGACCTAACTTTATGTTATCTTCTTTCCCATCTACATGTCTGTATTTAATTCACTATACGTTGACTTAACGTTGGACAAAGGTAGAAGTGAATAGTGTATTTTCAGTCAAGCTTGTGCTTCAGAGTCTTTCGGCTAAAGCTATATTGTTTCTTAGCTAAACATAATTCACCTTTCACCCATTTAGCTTAGCTAAAGGTTAACTAGCATTACCTACTATCAGCTAGCACACATTCATATTACCTGCTAACAGCTAGCACAGGTTCATTTTACCTGCTAACAGCTAGCACACATACATGTTACGTGCTAACAGCTAGCACACACTCCTGTTATCTACTAACAGCTAGCACACATTCATGTTAACGTCTGCCGTTAATCAGCGTTAGCCAATTAGCATAACACACCACAACCATTAATGTTCTTAACTTCAATAATGACCAATATTAATATCAGAGTCTCGTGTTGGCTTAAGACCAATGTCAATAAACCTACTCAGTGAAAATTGCCTTACTTACCATAGTTCTGCAGCAAATGCCCCACATTGTAACGAAACGCCCACAGTCAGTGCTCGAAGTCCAGCAGGATTAGATTGGAGAAAAAGCTCTTTATTTCACTGTTGTGTTTGATAAGTGAGAGTAACTGCAGACAGGCTGGAAACTCTCCTGACTTCCCCACAACACAGGTCAGCTGTCAGCACAATGTAGGAGAGTCACCCTGCTGGGAATGCCTAAGGTATGCCACTGCTATAAAGGTGCTGGGTGTTTGGTAGTCTTATTACTCATTCTGCACTATGGCCCATTTCAGAATAAAGAACATAAGTATTACCAGCTAAATGTACTTCAAGTATTAAAAGTAAGAGTCCTTGTTACAGAATGGATCTTATATTATTATGTTCATTACATTTATCTGTTTTTATACATATAAGAGCATTTTAGGATTATAGTTTGTCAATGTGGACGAGTTTAGATTCTATAAATACTGTGTAGATTGGTAGTACAGCACTGCATTATGCCATATCAGCATATCAAGATTTCAAAGGTTTAATGTCATACACACTACACTGTAGTTGTGCAATGAAACACTTGGGTAATTCTGCTCAATGGCCCATTTCAGAATAATATAAAGAACACAAGTATCACCAGCTATGTGTATAAAAGTATCAAAAGAAAAAGTGCAGAATCTTATCGGATCTTATATTATTATGTTCATTATATTTATCTGTTTTAATACATATAATAAGAGCATATTAGGATTATAGTTTGTCAATGTGGACCAATTTAGATACTATAAATACTGTGTAGATTGGTGGTACAGTATTCTATTATACCATATCAGCATATCATGTGTGATTATCTGTAAAAAAGTAACTTGTAATATAAATGTAGTGAAGTAAAAAGTGCAATATTTGCCTCTGAGATGTAGTGGATTGGAGTATAAAGTAATATTAAATGGTAAAGTTAAATACAAATATGTCATAATAGTAAGTAGTACAATACTTGAGTAAATGTACTTAGTTACTTTGCACTACTGGTACTATGCAGCTTAAAACAGTCCAACATAATATGGTTACATAGGGGTTCAAGACAATGCCCTGGAAGTACTTTAAAGTTAAAGTAAGTAAAAAATAAAAATCATGGTATTTATTTAAGTCTTGGAGGCTAATAGAAAACGGTGCTTTGGTCGACAGCTATATTTTTAGAAGCTTATTTGGTCAAGTCTACAATTTGATAAGACAATGCCATCTGTATTAACTTTTAAAAGTGGCAATTGTGTGATCGTCCGTTTTAAAATATTTGCATGGCTTTTAAATCTCAGTAAAATAATGAGTAATTAAGAGTCAGAGAACAAATGTCTTTCTTTCTTTGTTTTTCTCCAACCAGATTCATGTTTAGCTTTCTCCTTATTACATGGGAATGGTACCTCATTCTTTTGTATTGCCTCAGAATAACATATTGTCCAGTACACAATCGATATCAGTGGCTCATCAGGAACCATTGCCTACTTGCACGCCCGCAAATGGCAGATACCTGTTGTGTAACTTGGCTTTTATAATTATTTTTATTTTGTTTAAAACGCTGTGCATCCTATTTAGTCATTCCTCCAAGAGCTTCTACTTTATCTTGACTGCATGTTCAACCTCAGTATTTTTTAGTTTTTAAGCACATTTGAAGGCAGATAGAAAACTGCATTTCACCAACCATTAAAAAAGGTAAGTTGGAAATGATGTTAAAAGTACTACTCACTTTTGATATTTGGCTGATGTAAACAGATACATCCTTTTCTTGAATTATATTTTAAAGATGAAAATGCAAACAAATCAAATTTTCTGCAGTGGGACAGCTGTGTCAGTTAAATTACCGACAAAGTGTGACGAAATAAGACTTCTCATTCCTGGGTACACTTGAAAGAATCTTCTGAAGGTAAGTGGGCTCATTACTTGGGTGACCTATATATTTTAGATTCTTCAGAGTAGCCCCCTTTTGCCTTGATGACAGCTTTGCACACTCTTGGCTTCTCTCAGTCAGCTTCATGAGGTCGTCACCTGGAATGGTTTTCAATTAACACGTGTGCGTGGTCAAGAGTCACTTTGTGGAAACACTTGCCTTCTTAATGTGTTTGAGACCATCAGTTGTGTTGTGCAGAGGTAGGGTTAGTGCACAGTGGAAAGCCCTATCTGACTATACTGTTGTAATCCATATTATGGCACGAACCACTCAACTCAGTAAAGAGAAACGACGTCCATCATTACTTACTTTCATTACTAAGAAATGAAGGCCAGTCGATCCGGATAATTTCAAGAACTTTGAATGTATCCTCAAGTGCAGTCGCAAAAACAATCGAACGCGAGGAGACTGCGTGAATCATGCCTTCATGGTCCAATTGCTGCAAAGATCCACTACTGAGGATCAACAACAAGAAGAAGATAATTATTTGGGCCAAGAAACACAAGGACTGGACATCAGACAGTGGAAATCTCTACTTTGGTCTGATGAGTCCGAATTTGAGATTTTTGATTCCAACCTCCGGGTCTTGGTGAGACGCAGAGAAGGTGAGCGGATGGTTTCTGCATGTGTAGTTCCCACCGTGAAGCATGGAGGAGGAAGTGTGATGGTGTGGGGGGGCTTTGCTGGTGTCACTGTTGGTGATTTATTCAGAATTCAAGGCACACTTAACCAGCATGGCTACCACAGCATTCTGCAGCGCTATGCCATCCCATCTGGTCTGCTGGGACCATCATTTATTTTTCAACAACGACCCTAAACACACCTCCAGGCTATGTGAGGGCTATTTGACTAAGAAGGAAAGTGATGGAGTGCTGCGTAAGATGACCTGGCCTCCACCATCACCGACCAATTGAGATGGTTTGGGATCAGTTGGGCCGCAGAGTGAAGGAAAAGCAGCCAACCTCTGGGAAGTCCTTCAAGACGGTTGGAAAACCATTCCAGGTGACGACCTCATGAAGCTGACTGAGAAGCCAAGAGTGTGCAAAGCTGTCATCAAGGCAAAAGGGGGCTACTCTGAATAATCTCAAATATAAATCATATTCTGGATTGTTCATCACTTTTTAGTTTACTACATAATTCCATGTGTGTTCTTTTATAGTTTTTATGTCTTCAGTATTAATCTACAATGTAGAAAATAATTTAAATAAATAAAAACCTTCAAATGTGTCCAAACTTTTGACTGTACTGTATATACAGTATGTATATATATACAGTGGAGGAAATAAGTATTTGATCCCTTGCCGATTTTGTAAGTTTACCCACTTGCAAGGGGATCAAATACTTATTTCCCACGGTTAAATGCAAATCAATTTATATCTTAGATATAATGTAAATTCTTGGATTTACTCTCACTGTTAAAATATTATTATTAAGCCTGCTTTTAGTATACGGCTCTCCAGAAGTTATTTGCTTTGTTAGCTAACATTATCTGCTGGTTATGTAGGCTACTTGATTGATCTGCTCTATAACATTATAGAAAACGTGGGAACATCTTCAACATGAATATTGTAGAAGCTGGAAATGTTTGTCATTTGTAGCTAAACAACAACTTTCTGTTAACCGATGAATCGACATTCAGTATTATTTTTTACAGCAGTGTTAAGAATTACTGCTGGATCAATGATGTAGAGTAGACACTTTTGTCTTTTGATAGAAAATGAATCAATCTACCCTGTATGATAATTCATGAAAAAATTACGTATTTTAACGTTTATATTTGCACACGGAAAACATTGGACTTTTTGAATATAGTAAGCTCTTTTTGCAATTTGTTGCTGTTCTCTTTTCACTTTACAAGTCTTGAAGCAACAATAGTGTTTGCCAGGTGAAACCTCAATTTAATTTATTAATAGACATGGCTGATCCAAATATAAATGACCAAGGAGTCTTTACATTTAGAAAAAATGTAGGGCATATGCAAGTGTTTATAGTTTCATGTTTCTATGTTTTTCAAGAGAAACATAATTAGAAAACCTGAGAAATCCTGATCTTATATTCTAAGTAGGTGTTGTTGCAATAAATGTCCACTAGATGTCAGTAATCAATTTATTTAAAACACACACACAGACACACACACATACACACTTAGGTCACATTTGGGGACACACATCTTTACACCCCCCTTAGGGGACACCACTTTCTGAAGGGGTTAGAGAGATGCTGGTAAGTGGAAAGTATTACTGGGAGTGCCCACATTATCACACTCACACACACACACATTTTGTATTACGTAAATATAAAGAATCAGGTACTTTACCGAAACAAAAGATTATAAATTCTGAGTAAAAGAAAGATAATTTAAGATGCTGAACTTGAATAAAACAAACGTTGTCATATTTGTTGACAATACCACTTCTATATTGAATGATCTGTTAAGTGATTAATAAACGTAAATATATGATATCAGGTACTTAGTTGAAAGAAATATAAAGTCGTTACAGATTTTGAGCAAAGACAATTACATATCATACTGGATTAGGTAAGAGAAACAACCTGAAGGATAACTGTTGCGTGAGACATTATATTCAGCAGAAGTCTCCACGTTTGCAGTCAACCAAAGTAGTATGTAAGCATCATCTTACTAGTTGTAACGGACAGAAAAAACACACGACCACATCGCACTGAGTTTGGCCTGGAGAACTGACCGTTTATTGCATCTGTGCATGCTTATTAGCATCACCACTTTTCTTTCACACTCAGGCACATTCTGATGATGTCATATACACATGAACTGAAACATGACTTTGTTCTTGTACAAATATGCTTAACAATAAACTACATGTTGACTTTTAGACGGAAATATCTTTAAAACATTAAAAAGGCAACAAAAGAAATAGTCACAAAAACAAAATCTAATAGATGAACCTTCTGGAAAACAATCACATATCATCCTTAACTTGATTCAAACGTTTTTTTTGTCATGGCATGCTGAATATGAATTAAATGATCCTTTAATTTATCTAAAAAATGTGGCATTTGATGCAGCCAAAAATGAAAACTAACATAATACATTTTGAGTAAATTGTATAAAATGAACATTAAAATGTATATATTTAGAGGTAAATACTTAATTGAAATAAAAAGACAGATTTTCATGTTTTGGTAAAAAGAAAAAAGTACATATAGCACTCAATAAGGTAAGAAGAAAATGCATGTATAATCTTCATGTTGACATGAAGAATGAATGACATTTTAAAACATTGAAATTGTTAATAGAAAAACCTTAAAGCAAATATTTGTGCATCAGTTACTTTAAGGAAATTAAAACACT